TAAAATTTAAAACGATCTCAACTGTGAATAGCAAAAGTCAATTTGTTTATCTTTTGAAATTTGAATTGTAAGTTACTTTATATATATATATATATATATATATATATATATATATATATATATATATATATTACATACAAATATAGAAATTATATGTGGAATCACTTCCAAATAATGACAAAGTTTGCATATGAATTATTTAGTGTGTGCACCTTGAGCCGCACTATCGCGCTATGTCTCTGTTTGTTGATGTTAAAAGTAACATATTTTATTTTCCAAAAAAAAAAAAGGAATATATTTTTTTTGTACTTTCATTTTTTCTCTGTTATGAATTACAAAGATGTTTCTGCATACTAAACTAATGACAAGGTGAGCTTTAAGGAGATAAACTTGGGGGCTTAAATGTAGTAAAAGGTTCAAATTACATCGGATGTAATTATAATGTAGAAAAACAATTATTCCCTCCGTTCTTAAATATCTGTCGTTTAAGGTTTTTGCACAAAAATTAAGGAAGCTATTAAATAACTCTAATATGAGTAAAAAATAATTACACAAGACTAAAATACCTTTATTTAATACGTATTGGGAAAGAAAAGTATGTGGAAGACACTTGACCTACATTTAATCTATTAAACACTTATTGAAAAATAGAGATAAAGGTAAATTTGGAAGAAAAAATATTAATTATGTTTTGGTTTCATAAAACGATAGATATTATGGAACAAAAAAAAATTATGTAAAATGACAGATATTTAGGAGCGGATGGAGTATTATACAAGTAATGACGACACAATAAACGAGATTAGAAGGACATCAATTGCAAAATAGTTAGGTATGAAGCCAGATCAAGAATATGAAATATATTGCTGGCGGTGAATCAATGAAGTATGTACATGAGTGGAATAAAGAAGGAACAAATTAAACTTACCTAGGAAAAATAAAAACAAGTAAATAGGAAGATATGAGACGAATAGGCTAAACTTACTGGTAAAGGAAAAACACATCCGCCACAAGTACTATACAGGTAGTTGAAAGGAAAATATGATAAATACAAAATGTGAATACTGGGTGATGTTATAATATAAATGGAAATAATCAAAGTGGCGAGGGAGTAGATGGATCATATAGGGTGATCATTACTGCATTTTCAAGTTTTTTGTGGAAGAAGGCCAGGGCGAGGAACAAAGCTTTTAGCCTAGTAATAACAACACTATGATTATGATGTTTTTTGTGGAAGAAGGCCATGATTATGATGTTTGAATTTATTGATTCACAATATGGCAACTATTGACCTTTGGCCATTGTCACTGTCAATATCTCATTATACGATTCATCTTTTCTCTTCTTTAATTTACCTCTGTACTCCCCAGATATTTATCTATCCTCCACTAAAGGAAGAAATTTTTGTACACCCTTATCTTATGTAAGCTTTGATTACTACTTCAGTTCGATGACAATACAATCTTCAGAGTTTGTGAATGCAGTGATCCCGCCATCATCCTCACATCTTGACATACAGAGCTCCCTACCAGGACGGTCATCGGCAGCCTTACTCTTTTTACTTGGAGCTATAGTTTTGCTCTTGATATTGCTGATTCTCATATTCTTCTTCTGGAAAATTGTCAAGCCAGCAGAACTGAAAAAGTTGGTTGCCTGCATAAAGAATCCACAAGGTTGTAAGTTTGACGATTTGTAGAAGTTGAGAACAACGTTTTGAAGTGATGAACTAAATAAAAATTTTACTTTTTTGCAGCAGCAAATAATGTTCTCAGTGGAAATCTTCATACAATAAGCTACTTCAACTTCCAAACATTAAAGAAGGCAACCAAGAATTTCCACCAGTGTAATCTTCTTGGAATAGGTGGATTCGGGCCTGTCTATCTGGTAATGCTGAATCTATATTTTGTGTTTACATATTCTTTTTGGACTTCGATGGTATTTAAAAGAGTGAGTATCAGAACTCTATGAGACGGTGGCCTATGCACAAGAAGCTTTGTAATGGATCCACTAAGTAATGGGTCTGACTATAAGTATCTATATTACAAGATATAAATAAATAGATAACTTTTCACCAATGTCTTGATGTTGCTATATCTGATGTTACGAAATTGTGAATCTTCAATTGGGTCCTTGAGAACCCACTTTTTGGGTTGAGCTAATGAAGAAAACCGTTTCTGTGTATTATGCTGATTACGATGTCACTCTTTTAAATTATAAGTCGTGTTTGATAGGGGAAGTTAGAAGATGGGAGGCTAGTAGCTGTGAAGAAACTGTCACTTGACCAATCCCATCAAGGAGAGTCAGAATTCCTTGCAGAGGTGAGGATGATCACAAGCATACAACATAAGAACCTAGTCCGCCTTCTTGGATGTTGCTCAGATGGAGATCAACGGCTACTAGTGTATGAATACATGAAAAACAGGAGTTTGGACCTCATAGTATATGGTATGTTTTCGTTATCATAAGTATAATTTTCTTTGTATCAACATAGTTAATGTATCTGATCCAGAATCACTACTTTTTTTTGGAATTACACGGTGCATCATTTAGTGGTTGAACTAAATTAGTTATTTTAAAAACTATGACTAGTCCTGCTTGAAGTGCAGGAAGATCTATACTTAATATGAGTTGTAATCCTAGCATCTAAACTCCATTTGTCCAATTTGCATTACTGACTATATTACCAAAGACAACCCAATAATAGATTAAAGCATTACATAAAGATGTGGATTCCTAAAAAGCTTCAATGTGATCGGGTTTTCTTCTGACTGTTTGTGATATAGGAAAAAGTAACCANGACTATATTACCAAAGACAACCCAATAATAGATTAAAGCATTACATAAAGATGTGGATTCCTAAAAAGCTTCAATGTGATCGGGTTTTCTTCTGACTGTTTGTGATATAGGAAAAAGTAACCAGTTCCTGAACTGGAACACTAGGTACCAAATAATTATTGGCATTGCTCGAGGATTGCAATACCTACATGAGGACTCACATCTCAGAATTGTTCACCGGGATATCAAAGCTAGCAACATTCTTCTGGATGATAAATTTCAACCAAGGATTGGAGATTTTGGCCTGGCTAGGTTTTTCCCTGAAGATCAAGCTTATCTCAGCACAAAATTTGCTGGAACTTTGTAAGTAGATCGCCAATCATAAGTACCCGAGAATGTATGTTTTCTACCATAACTGCCCCTAAATGCGTTCAAACTGATTTAAATGGCAATTGGAANTAAATAACTCTAATATGAGTAAAAAATAATTACACAAGACTAAAATACCTTTATTTAATACGTATTGGGAAAGAAAAGTATGTGGAAGACACTTGACCTACATTTAATCTATTAAACACTTATTGAAAAATAGAGATAAAGGTAAATTTGGAAGAAAAAATATTAATTATGTTTTGGTTTCATAAAACGATAGATATTATGGAACAAAAAAAAATTATGTAAAATGACAGATATTTAGGAGCGGATGGAGTATTATACAAGTAATGACGACACAATAAACGAGATTAGAAGGACATCAATTGCAAAATAGTTAGGTATGAAGCCAGATCAAGAATATGAAATATATTGCTGGCGGTGAATCAATGAAGTATGTACATGAGTGGAATAAAGAAGGAACAAATTAAACTTACCTAGGAAAAATAAAAACAAGTAAATAGGAAGATATGAGACGAATAGGCTAAACTTACTGGTAAAGGAAAAACACATGCGCCACAAGTACTATACAGGTAGTTGAAAGGAAAATATGATAAATACAAAATGTGAATACTGGGTGATGTTATAATATAAATGGAAATAATCAAAGTGGCGAGGGAGTAGATGGATCATATAGGGTGATCATTACTGCATTTTCAAGTTTTTTGTGGAAGAAGGCCAGGGCGAGGAACAAAGCTTTTAGCCTAGTAATAACAACACTATGATTATGATGTTTTTTGTGGAAGAAGGCCATGATTATGATGTTTGAATTTATTGATTCACAATATGGCAACTATTGACCTTTGGCCATTGTCACTGTCAATATCTCATTATACGATTCATCTTTTCTCTTCTTTAATTTACCTCTGTACTCCCCAGATATTTATCTATCCTCCACTAAAGGAAGAAATTTTTGTACACCCTTATCTTATGTAAGCTTTGATTACTACTTCAGTTCGATGACAATACAATCTTCAGAGTTTGTGAATGCAGTGATCCCGCCATCATCCTCACATCTTGACATACAGAGCTCCCTACCAGGACGGTCATCGGCAGCCTTACTCTTTTTACTTGGAGCTATAGTTTTGCTCTTGATATTGCTGATTCTCATATTCTTCTTCTGGAAAATTGTCAAGCCAGCAGAACTGAAAAAGTTGGTTGCCTGCATAAAGAATCCACAAGGTTGTAAGTTTGACGATTTGTAGAAGTTGAGAACAACGTTTTGAAGTGATGAACTAAATAAAAATTTTACTTTTTTGCAGCAGCAAATAATGTTCTCAGTGGAAATCTTCATACAATAAGCTACTTCAACTTCCAAACATTAAAGAAGGCAACCAAGAATTTCCACCAGTGTAATCTTCTTGGAATAGGTGGATTCGGGCCTGTCTATCTGGTAATGCTGAATCTATATTTTGTGTTTACATATTCTTTTTGGACTTCGATGGTATTTAAAAGAGTGAGTATCAGAACTCTATGAGACGGTGGCCTATGCACAAGAAGCTTTGTAATGGATCCACTAAGTAATGGGTCTGACTATAAGTATCTATATTACAAGATATAAATAAATAGATAACTTTTCACCAATGTCTTGATGTTGCTATATCTGATGTTACGAAATTGTGAATCTTCAATTGGGTCCTTGAGAACCCACTTTTTGGGTTGAGCTAATGAAGAAAACCGTTTCTGTGTATTATGCTGATTACGATGTCACTCTTTTAAATTATAAGTCGTGTTTGATAGGGGAAGTTAGAAGATGGGAGGCTAGTAGCTGTGAAGAAACTGTCACTTGACCAATCCCATCAAGGAGAGTCAGAATTCCTTGCAGAGGTGAGGATGATCACAAGCATACAACATAAGAACCTAGTCCGCCTTCTTGGATGTTGCTCAGATGGAGATCAACGGCTACTAGTGTATGAATACATGAAAAACAGGAGTTTGGACCTCATAGTATATGGTATGTTTTCGTTATCATAAGTATAATTTTCTTTGTATCAACATAGTTAATGTATCTGATCCAGAATCACTACTTTTTTTTGGAATTACACGGTGCATCATTTAGTGGTTGAACTAAATTAGTTATTTTAAAAACTATGACTAGTCCTGCTTGAAGTGCAGGAAGATCTATACTTAATATGAGTTGTAATCCTAGCATCTAAACTCCATTTGTCCAATTTGCATTACTGACTATATTACCAAAGACAACCCAATAATAGATTAAAGCATTACATAAAGATGTGGATTCCTAAAAAGCTTCAATGTGATCGGGTTTTCTTCTGACTGTTTGTGATATAGGAAAAAGTAACCAGTTCCTGAACTGGAACACTAGGTACCAAATAATTATTGGCATTGCTCGAGGATTGCAATACCTACATGAGGACTCACATCTCAGAATTGTTCACCGGGATATCAAAGCTAGCAACATTCTTCTGGATGATAAATTTCAACCAAGGATTGGAGATTTTGGCCTGGCTAGGTTTTTCCCTGAAGATCAAGCTTATCTCAGCACAAAATTTGCTGGAACTTTGTAAGTAGATCGCCAATCATAAGTACCCGAGAATGTATGTTTTCTACCATAACTGCCCCTAAATGCGTTCAAACTGATTTAAATGGCAATTGGAAGTAAATGAATTTTAAGAAAATAACCAAACATAAGCGCTAGTAATCTAAGTTACAGGTAATTCCAAGGTAATAATGTTGATAAATTGGGGTTGTCATCCGATAGAAAACTTGTTTGTAGGAATTGCACTGCACTGCAACACTGGAAATTGCTTTAAATCGTGTACAAGAACACATTCCTAAAAATAGTATTTGCCCCCATCAATTGTTTAAAAAGGTGTGTACCAAAAATTCCTTAAATCTTTTCTTAAGATATAATGAAGCTTTTCTAACCTACTTGCATATTGCACTGATGAAGACAGTACCTAAAAATCAAATAGTCAACTTCTAGTATTCTAATTCTGTAGAAACTAGAATACTAGATTGAATAGAAAATAATAGATGCATGTAAATTTGGGAGAATGGGAAAAAAGAAGAATGAGAGAGCAATTTTAGTAGGTATTATAGAATTGTCTAATGACATGTTTCTAGAGTGTAAGATAGCTTTTAGTTTTCGAAAAAGGTGCAATCATTTGAAATGATGCTTTTTCGTTCAACATGTATCAATATCAATAGTAACTTTATGAAGGTACAATTATTTGAAATTGTGTCTTTTAACAAAAAATGTGTTAATGGTTGCTTTATGAAAGGTTGTAATCATTTGGATTAGTCTTTTAGCCATAAATCTCTAACTTTGAATTAGTAGGTTTTTTTATAATTCTTACTTTACACCTTTCCAATTTCTCTCAAAAGTCGTAGAATTTTTCAAAAATAAACTCATACAAGTTTTTTTTTAAAACTATTTTTAAATTCCCTGACCATTTTCAAAATAATGTATAGGAACAAATAGCTAAACGAAAGACTTATGTATAGGTGATGATGTCTTATGACTTTAACTAATCACTTAGTAAAAATGTATCAAACATAACTAGGAAAGCATAGTAGACGTGTCTTTGAATTAGCTATTCACTTTGACTAGCTGGATCTATTTTCACACATAAATTTTCAAATCCTTTAGGTATAAATGGCCTTATATTTGTACCTTGATTTCATAAGCGCTCTAGAGACAGCCTTAGTCTAAGAGGAAGCAACTCCACTTCCACACTCATATAGGTATGTCCCAATCTCAACCTACTTATCCTTGGGATGGATGCTAGTTATTTTATTTGAGTGCTTATAATCACGACTTATAGTGTTCTCTACTTATTGAACTCGAGAACTTGATATTTCAAGCGTCAAGTCAAGTTTCTACCAAGAGTGATCATTTCATATGGGCTTCAACCCCATTCTTACTGATGTTTTTAACATTATATTCATTGAAAATCCTTTTGTAAAGGGATCCGCCAAATTTTGGAATGACTTCACTACTATTATTACTTCATCTATGAACTTATTGAACTCGAGAACTTGATATTTCAAGCGTCAAGTCAAGTTTCCACCAAGAGTGATCATTTCATATGGGCTTCAACCTCATTCATACTGATGTTTTTAACACCATATTCATTGAAAATCCTTTTGTAAAGGGATCTGCCAAATTTTGGAATGACTTCACTACTATTATTACTTCATCTATGCATAATTATCTGACATAACTATGTCTCATTGTGCCTAGATTTTCCATTATACACTATACTATAAGCCGTGCTAATGTTGATTCACTATCATCATGTATAGAAATAGGAGGCATTGGTCTAGGCCAGACTGGAATTTCTAACAATAAATTCCTCAATCACTCCGCCACTTTTCCACTTGTGGCTAATGCCATAAATTCGAATGCCACTGTAGAATCTGTTATACATTTTTGTTTCTTGAAACTGCAAAAAACATCTCTACCAAGAGTGAATACCCATCCACTCTTTGATGTATGATCCTCACGATCTGTTATCAACTAGCATCCGAATGTCTTTCTAGAACAGCAGGATATTTACTATAGCATATACCAGCCAATGTCCATGACTAGGTTTACTAGTATATCTGTTAAGTTTTCCTACAACAAATGCAATATTAAGTTTTGTACATGTTATGGCATACATTAAACTACTAATAACTCTAGCATATTGCAATTGTGATACTGTTGTACCAGTGTTTTGAAACAACCTTATCTATGATTTAAAGGGTGTGTTAATAGGTGTGCAACCAAAATGATTAAATTTCTTAATTATTTTCTCAATGTAAGGAGATTGAGATAAAATCAAATTGTTATCTTTCATGCAAACAATTTAATTTTATACATGTCTGTTTCTTGAAACTCCGGTAAAATCTGCAATACCCATATTTTTCCTGTCAATGTTAGAAGATAAGAAGTCTTTAGTACTGTTAATGTTATCTAAGTCAGTAACAAGTATTAGCATGTCATCTAACTGCAAACATAATATCACAAGTTCTTCATTAGTGAATCTACTATATACGCATTTACCAAATTCATGAATTTTAAATTCATTTAACATAACTACTTAGTCAATTTTTTCATGCCAATGTTTATATGCTTTTTTAAGACCATATGGTGGTTTAACTAATTTCCAAACTTTTGCTTGGCTTTTTATAACAAAGCCCCCAAGTTGTTCAATGTGTATGTCTCTTCCTTTAGCTCACCATTTAAGCATCATGTTTTTACATGCATTTGATGTATTTCAATCTTATAAATTGAGGCGAAAGCCACTAAGACTCTAATTGTGAAAATTTTGGCTATTGGTGCATAGGTATCGAAATAATCAATACTTTCTTTTTGTGTGAACCACTAATCTAGCCTTAAACTTTTCAAGTATTCAACCTATCTTCAATTTCCTTTAAAAGGTCTATTTACACTAAATAGGTTTTGAGCCTAGAGTTAAATCAACTAATTTCCAAGTCTTATTACTCATAATGGAATCGGTTTCATCATTTATAGTTTCTTTAAAAAAAGCTAAATCTTGAGATTTCATAGTGTCTTCAAAGGTTATGGTATCCGATTTCACTGATAAGATAAAAATCATTTGCTTACATGTAGTTTCTCTATTGCCTTCTACTAAGTCAATTTTCTCAATCCTTACTCTTTTACTTCTCCTAAGATCCACTTGGTCACTAGTTTCATTTGGTTCATTTCCCATTGAAACTACTCTTAGTATTTCAATTACCTCCTTAGATTTCTTTAATTTTGGATTACTAGAGAACCTATTCTTGTAGAATTCTGCATTTCTAGATTCTATAATATTGTTAATTTTAATTTATTCATTGGGTTCCACTACTAAGAATCTATAGTCCTAATATGTTGTGCATATCCCAAGAAAATGCAATCAATCCCCTCTGTTGCCTAGTTTCTTTCTTTTAGATTATGATAATCTCACAATAACTCTACAACTCCAAACTTTTAAGTAACCTAGATTAGGTTTCCTTTTGGATTAATGTGTTTTAGCCAAAAGTCACTAATTTGAATTAGTAGCTTTTCTTGTCATTTTTACTTCACACCTTTCCAATTTCTCCAAAAAGTCGTAGAGTTTTTCAAAAATAATCTCACTTAAAAAAGATTTTATTTTTAAAATATTTTAACAAATACTAAAATTAAAAAGGCCATCACCTAGTGTGAGTTCTACTAAGGCGGGTGCTAAATAAGAAAAATTAGTATTGCCTAAGCTTTGGCATTGTGATTTTGTTGCTCTTAGAACTCATGCTAGGTAGCCTTTCACCCTTGCACCTTTTTATCGTCCCTTGATAAGAAAATGACCACAAGCAATTATTGGTCCTTGGAAAACAATTGCATAGGCAACGAGTCTTAAAATGTTCACTATAATTTTTGGACATTTGTAAAGGTTACACTAGACAGTTTTTACGCGAAAGACAACATATATGTCTGCATAAATTCATACTACTACCATAATTTGAACCCTACGCCTACCCCTACCCTCTGGCCTTGACTATAAANTTTTCTTGTCATTTTTACTTCACACCTTTCCAATTTCTCCAAAAAGTCGTAGAGTTTTTCAAAAATAATCTCACTTAAAAAAGATTTTATTTTTAAAATATTTTAACAAATAATAAAATTAAAAAGGCCATCACCTAGTGTGAGTTCTACTAAGGCGGGTGCTAAATAAGAAAAATTAGTATTGCCTAAGCTTTGGCATTGTGATTTTGTTGCTCTTAGAACTCATGCTAGGTAGCCTTTCACCCTTGCACCTTTTTATCGTCCCTTGATAAGAAANGGGTGCTAAATAAGAAAAATTAGTATTGCCTAAGCTTTGGCATTGTGATTTTGTTGCTCTTAGAACTCATGCTAGGTAGCCTTTCACCCTTGCACCTTTTTATCGTCCCTTGATAAGAAAATGACCACAAGCAATTATTGGTCCTTGGAAAACAATTGCATAGGCAACGAGTCTTAAAATGTTCACTATAATTTTTGGACATTTGTAAAGGTTACACTAGACAGTTTTTACGCGAAAGACAACATATATGTCTGCATAAATTCATACTACTACCATAATTTGAACCCTACGCCTACCCCTACCCTCTGGCCTTGACTATAAATACCAAGGTACGTATTTGATATAGGTACCAAATGCGAAGAACTCTTGCAGATGATCTCTCTTAAAACTGAATTATAATTCAGATAGGTCCAATTTTTCGTGGCTGCTCACGTATGTTGTGCTGGCATATGTACGGTCATTGCATCAAGAAGGATAATGGCATGTCATTTTAGTTCTATGATCTTTTGCCAATACATTAAAATTTTTTTATAATGAAAAATACAATTCAGTTGCTTCCCGTTAATGTCCTCACCACTAGCTCTGCCAAACTGCTACATCCTACTACGGTGCCACCAGTACCAAATAACAACACCACCATTGCCATCATGTAATATAGTTTATCCCCCCGAAGATTTCTCTCTCTCTCTCTCTCTCTCTCTCTCTCTCTCGTGTTTCTTGCATTGTAATTCAAATATATTAGTTACATTTTCCATGTTCTAGAATCTAGATACTGAAATTGATACTGGTATAAGAAATTGATACTTTCTTTCACATATAGTTTTTGAAAAGATGTCGACAATGAAACTTATAGTTAGAAATCTATTAGTTCCCAAATTCTAGATTTATTAACTGTCATGCAGCCATCTTTGTGATTGCCTTTTTTTCTTTCCTTCCTTTTGCAGAGGCTATACCGCCCCAGAATACGCCATTAGAGGAGAATTGTCTGAAAAAGCGGATATATATAGTTTTGGAGTTCTAGTTCTTGAAATTATTAGCTGCAGGAAAAATACAGATCTTACTTTGCCATCAGAAATGCAATACCTCCCCGAATATGTAGGCATTTTACCTTTCCAGATTTTTTTATGATGTTTTCATGGTCAACTTCATCATCATGAGTTAAAATTGCTAATGATTTTAAATATATCTTATGGTAGGCATGGAAGCTGTATGAGAGGTCAAATGTGATAGATCTAGTGGATCCAAACATGCGTGCGGATGGATTTGAGGAGAACGTTGTTTTGCATGCAATCAATGCTGCCTTCTTATGCCTTCAGCCTCATGCAAATTTAAGACCACCCATGTCAGAAATTGTAGCAATGTTAACATGCAAGGCCGAAGTGGCGAGAACACCTATGAAACCAGCATTCTTGGATCGAAGGTGGAGGAAGGGTGAGAAGCTTTCTTGGGATACCATATCAGATGTTTTTCCATCATCACTGAAGAGTGATTCCCCTGCCTTGCCTCAACCTCCAAACTAAAGGTTGCGCTTTTACGCTGCATATTTCCATGCAAATTGATCAAATAAAACCTATATTGTGAATCTTTGATGAAATTTGCAAAATTTCTAGAAAAGGTTCTGCTTTGGTCCCCTTTTTTAATCTTGGATCAGTAGTTCTGCGGATTTAATTTTTCTACACAGATATCTATTTAGAGATGTAGACAATAGACATGTACAGAAATGGATTTGCAGGATGGGAAAATGTATAGGATCGTGTAATTGTTTTTTGTGGGCAGGGAGGAGTATAGTTTTCCATTTTTGGAAACAAATTAAGGGGTAGGTGCTGCAATTAAGTTCTTAAAGAGAATTTTTTATTTCCAGGGAGTTGTTTCTACAGTTGCATTGTTCCAACAAATGTTCAGTTGTGTTTATGACTGTAAAAGCTCCATTGCATTGCTTTCATTCCAAAAATATTCATGCTGTTAAGTGGCATAGCAAAATCTTTGTAGAATGGAATCTCGATACATAACTATAGACACATTCTAAATTGATACGGATCCTACCGCTTTAGTGTCCATTCATTCAAGTAATAAACTGGGGTGTCAAATCCAAGAACCAATCCATCCAAAACATAAATTAGGTTACTTATCATTTACCTTTTCTAGAACTCGTTATGTGCATGTGGGAAAAACTCCCTTACTCTCAACTTCATNTATCATTTACCTTTTCTAGAACTCGTTATGTGCATGTGGGAAAAACTCCCTTACTAAATTTATAACTGTTTTATTATTCTTGAGTGGTTATTTACGTAAAACTCAACCCTATTTATAGAGTGAATAATACATAATAAATATAAAATATTATAAACTTATCCTAACTATCTACAATAGTGATTGATATTTTGGATCCTATCAACATAACCCTAATACTCCCCTTTAAGTTGGTACATTGAATAAGTTGAAGTGTTNACCAATCCATCCAAAACATAAATTAGGTTACTTATCATTTACCTTTTCTAGAACTCGTTATGTGCATGTGGGAAAAACTCCCTTACTCTCAACTTCATTTGAAAATAGAGTGTTTGTTAAGGCTATAACTTGCACTACTCTTTGATACCTTTGGAAGTAGTTCCATCGAATTTGAGCAAATTTATGAAAACTACAGTAGTGCAGATGGTGAATTTGCGACCGAAAATGCAGTTTTATAATATACTAGATGATGTAGCTATTGTGATAAAACTCCCCCGAGTAATAAGTTTGGAGTAAATGAACACGAAATTACAATCGTGGAAAGAAAAAATCACCATTTTTTTTATTTCTCTCTCTCTCTCTTCTTCTTTTTTCTTTTTTTTTTCTTTTTCGCTTCCTCCATTTTGTCCCTTTCGTTTCCTCTATTTCTTTAACCGGTCCCATCACTCTGCATTTCAAAACCGCTACTTGCATGAGCTAAGGAGAACGACCAAGAAATATGTTGAAACTTCACATGTGAGAATACAATATCTAATTGTAAATGAATTAGAAAAGTCTTAATGTACTTTGATTAGATTTATTAGGGATCAAATCAAAGAGGAAATAAATTGGACTAATCCTTATATGCCATGAATATCTATTAGACATCTAATTGAAAATATAGAGGTTAAGTTTTATATGAATTGGTTTGGGTGATAATATTTTATCCCAATAAATAAAGTTTAGTATTACAATGACCAATTTTTCAATTAAAAATTCATTGATGAGATTTTTTGATCCGTAGATATAAATATGATGCATCAATGAGTATATTATATCGAACCATATTATTTTTTATTTTATTATTTTTCTACCTTAAATTCCTAATTTCCAACAATTAATATCAATATTAATTATATACGTGGTATGGTTTATAAGACTTACATCCATGGACCAAATGCTTGTGCATATTCTTTTTCTTCTTTGGTTTCATTTCATAGGTTTTTGCAACATGGTGAGTGGTGCCTGGTTTTTTTTTCTTTTTTGTTTTCGTGTAAATAAACATTTAATAAAAAAAGATATAACAAAATATTCAATACATATTTTAAGGCCACATTGAGCGTGATTTTGAGAGAATTACTAACAATATACGCCGTTCATAATTAAAAAATTGAATTTACTCTCACTACTCAGAGAGACTAGGTAGTGTCTTCTCAAGTCCGAATATCATAGGAGTAAGCATTTCCTCTTTAAAAAAAATCCAAGGGAATAGCAGCAAATATCATCATGAACCGAGTGAATATGTATAAATAACAATTTATCTTCATAAATTTTCACTTGTTCTTTCTTCCAAGTTGTGAAAGGTGAACTACACAACTTATTATTAACTACTATGGTAATGGGAATGACATTTTAATATGCGAAAGTTGTAAAAAACCCTTTTCTTGTCACATGTTTTCCTGTGCTATCACAGGATTTTACGCAATTCTGAAGTTTGAATTCCCAACAGGAAAAAGAAACAGATTCTTTCAACACGAAGGTCTGGTATAATAATATGTGTTGGTCGCAACAGACAAAACATAGAACTTAACAACCAAAAACCAAAACAGGCAAACTTTGTAGGGAAATTTGGAAGCTGGTCCCCTATGTGAATTTGCTAGAAGATAAGTCTGACAAATAAAATTATTGGAGTCTAAGCCCGTGTTTAAACTTATATGTAGGTACTTAAGTCTATTTTTTTTTAAATCTTAATATTATCCCTAACAGTGTTAATTTTGTCAAATTATGGAAAGTCCAATAGGTTAGATCTTTAAAGTATATATAGAAACCTTAGTTTGAGTTATATATGGAAATCATTTTTCATTAAAAATCCTGATAATTAAATAAAGAATATATGAAATGTATACATTCTGCTAGCTATATATAAAAACCTGATTGACGAATTAATTCATATCACAAGTTTTCCTTATCAATTCAAATTCGAATTCTTAATCAATTTTAGTTCATTATGCTTTTGAATAATAGGCTTTTGTGTTTCACAGGGGGTTTGAGGTGATAAAAGCAGTCGTGAGACCTTGTGTTACTAATGATGTTACTGCCAAGATTACTATTTAATGATCCTTACATACAGTAACCAATCGTGCAACAATGTTACAAATTCACTTGGTAATGAATAATTACAATGGATTTCAACATATCAATTCCACATACAACACAATTTTAGCATTTTAAAATTAAATGGTTATGTTAGTTGAAACATTTTTTAACATGTTACTGTTTAAGTTACTGCTGCGCTTACAAATTGGACAGAATTTCCTTTGTTTTTCAAATGTTCCATTACAAACAAATTTTCAAACCTACATCAACATATCAATTTAATATTAAGATGTAACATCCAAACCACAATTCTACATGTTTGAATACTCCATTTAAACAAAGTACCAACCAGTAAACAATTACAACCAACTTCTAACCGAGCTTACAATTAGCTAAAGAGTGAATAGTTTTACAACATCACCAATTTTTATTATTTTGGTATTTTTTTTCAATCTTGATCTTGTCTTGTAGTCTTCAACAGTCCATGCATTAATGAATGTGGTCAACATGTGTATCCGTAAGACGTTAAGTTGTACTAGTTTCAATTTCTCTTCTATTTCCTGTAATTGTTATTAACCTGTAGCATGACGTTGTAACATCAATATGAATATATTAGACAATTGTAATATCAATATCCTACACAAACATATAGTATCATGATACAAAATAGTAACACACAACATATGGTAACATACAAAATAGTAACATACAGAATATAGTAACATGATACCAAGCGAAATGGACATAAATTAATTATGAAAAATTTTGCCCAAGAGTAACATTAACAATTCTACCAAATTACATGATGTAAATATAGTAACACCAAGTTAGTAACATTCAATTCTTAACTAAATCTCAGTAACATCATCTTCAGTAACATTAGACAAACACAATTTTGTGTGCCTATATGTTACAATTATATGGTTTGAATATTGCACTATACATTACATTGTCCTAAAGTAATCGAAATTGTTGAGTACTCTTGTGATATCATGATTACACTAGTTCATGAACATCATTTTCAGTNCATTCAATTCTTAACTAAATCTCAGTAACATCATCTTCAGTAACATTAGAAAAACACAATTTTGTGTGCCTATATGTTACAATTATATGGTTTGAATATTGCACTATACATTACATTGTCCTAAAGTAATCGAAATTGTTGAGTACTCTTGTGATATCATGATTACACTAGTTCATGAACATCATTTTCAGTTGTTGAATAAAAAGGACTCATTCCCAATCAACACTTTAAAGCAAACAATAATCCCCTTAAAAGTGGGGAAACAAATTAGGGTGCATCAAAGTGTATCGGTCCACCGTAACCTTGTGTTCTTTTCACAATAACACAACGAATAAAAATGGAATTGTTTTAAGAAACCCAAA